AACAATTCCATGTGTCATTCGCATTAGATCTGAACCAGTGCCTGACCTATGATTCGAAAGAGGCGATTGACATGAACACGAAACCTATTCGGGGCTATATCAGTTCCACGGGACAAGCCCCGGGTGAGGAAAACATCCGACCGAGATCTGTTTCCCTCCCGAGCATCCGAACAGGTCAAACGGGAGCGGAGCTCGTGCTGGGCTGGAGTCGAAGCGCCGGAGTGAATCGAGCTCTACTCACATTCCACATCGAATCCGGCATTGGAGCCATGTGAATCCCACACTGCGCCCGGGTTCCCGTACACACACACACACACACACACACACACACACACACACTTCCGGTTTCCCGTCATCATTTTTACCCTGAACCTGTAAAAATGTTCCTCTGCTCCTTCCCCCCCCCCTCACCCCGCATTCCATTAACACGCGTTTATACGTTCACCCATTATTTTACATATTCATATTTCGCTTTCATCTCATTGCTTATGGATTGATTTTTGTTTGTGGCTCGAAGTGGCTTTCGAGGCCTATCTTCGCGAAGCCAGTGGGCCAGATACCAAGCAGTTATCAGATTTCAGCCATGTACATAGTATTCATATATATACATAAAACTTTTTTCTATGATACATCCTGTTATGTGATAAGTCTCCTGATCGAACTGAATGAGCTCCGATTGATCCACGCACCCTGGGGCTTGATAAAAGCATACGCAAATAACAGAATAATCGCTGAAGTAAAATCATGATTTAGTTTCAAAGCTCTGTTCATCTCATTGCTATTAAGCTCACTGTACTGTCGTTCTCTTTCCTAGGACTTCATTCGGTATGAGTTCTGCACCATAGCTGACTCGGGTCGATCACTCACTGTTAGTTTCTCCGCGAACTCGGTGCACAGCCAAATAAAGTAAGTCGTTACTCGGTACTGCGTCGGGCAACGGAGAGTTACCAAGGCGTCCACGTTTCCGCGGATTGCTGGTTTACTGACCTCGAATTCACCGGTGACGTGGTAGTTCTTGGAGAGGACCTGACCGCCTGGCGAACAGCTCTCGGTCTTATCAAAAGATTTGCCTCTGAGATCGGCCTTGAGATTAATCTCAACAAAACTAACAGGTTCGCTACCCAACCTGATCAAGCGGAACATCCCGCGCAACTGGATGGTCGGACAGTAGAA